GCGAACGTCGCAGTGAGAGCAATCATTTTAGGGCCATCAATCACTGATAACACTAAACTGATGAGCGGTAACAGCTTTTAAAGCGTCGCCTATGGCCAATTTTGGGTATTATCATTTTTTGAGGTTTTGCGCGCGCACGCAATTTTAAGGCTTGACATGTTTGGTGTATTTTTACCCGACGTGACCCCGTCTTTTATAGTTTACCAAAAAATTGGGTAATAATAAATGTTTTATCATTTAATATAGGGGAAACTTTTTTTTTTTTTTTAAATCTGTAGTTTTTTCTGAATATATTAAAAAATAAAAACCCCAGTGGTGATTAAATACCACCAAAATAAAGCTCTATGTGTCCTCAAAAAAGGGTATAAAATTCATTTCAGTACAGCGTTGCATGACGGAATAAATGTCAGTCAAAGTACCGCAGCGCTGAATACTGAAAAATAGCCTGGATGGGAAGGGGGTTTATCACCCCGGATGTCAACTGGTTAAGGCTGGATTTACAACTAGGTGATAACGTTTTTGCTCGTTTCTGCAAACAGATTGCGGCGCTGATGCAAATGAGAAAACGAGCATAAAACGCATGCAAAAACGCCTCAAACATGCATTTTTGATTGCTTGCATGGAAGCCTATGGGACCAAGTAGTGCTTAATCTGCCAAAAAGAAGCTCATGTACTTTTTCAAGTGACAAAACACTCAGATGTGAACATAGCCATAGAAATGAACAGGATTTTGTTTTGGGGGGTTTTATCTTTTAGGATAGAAAGTGCTACAAAACACTAGGTGTGAATCAGGACTCAACCAGCAGGTAAACAAAACTTTCACGGGTGAGAGAATCAGGAACCTTACTTTTCTACACCATAATTAAATATCGTCCAATTACCAACCTACCCCCAGCTTTAGGCCCCATTCACAATCGCCAATGGCGCTGATTGGGTAAGTCTCACAAACTGCTCCGTGAGACTTATGTAAACAGATGCAGTCAGGAAGTGCTATACTATACAATGACCACACGCTGACTTCGCCTGTGGCTGTTTGTGTGTAACTAGGCACGCTGCAATTTACCTGCACACAATCGCCCCTACACATTGACAGTCAGCAAACTAATATGGTCATCTTTTGCTCTTTACTATGTCAGAAAGTTCACTGCATGGGGTCACTACTGCAAAGTCTGGTTTGAACAGATTATTGCTTTTCCCTCGCAATTTGAGCCTAGTTGTACAGGGGAATCCAAATGGATATGGAGAAAAATTTTGATCAAATTGAATACACTTAAAGCCTATTTCACAGCCGAGACCATAAGCAAGCAGATTTCCTCAGCCGGCAGCGTCTGGACCAGAGAGAGAAATGTCCTCTGTACCCACGGGTGCTCCAGGACCTGTGCAAGAAGGTGGGGGATGTAGAATGTGATGTCTTGGCCTCCAGGTTAAAAATCTGGACAGGTTAGTATCCAGGGATCCGTTGGCCGAGGCAGTGGATATTCTATTGGCTCTTTAAAATGGCGGACAGGGGCTTTTCAGAGTCTGATTCTTACAATTCTAAAGGGTAGGAATTACACCACCTGCAAAGTCAATCATCCAACGTGAAAGGTGTACTTTGCTTGGTGTGAGCATAAGGGTTTTTACCACAGAATTTATCCATGGAAGGGACTAGCTCTTTTCTGTTGGGTATGAACCAACATTTGGCTTTTAGAACCTTTAAAAGGCCAGATCTCTGCTCTTTCCATTCAGAGACTGGCCCTTTTGGCACTTTAGAAGCCCCTGTATGAACCTATTAGACTACATTCTCTCCACACTGGCCTATGAGATTGTGTTTGTGGCCATCACCTTGGCTAGGCGGGTGTCCGAGCTGGTGGCTTTAATCAACATGGAACCCTTTTTGGTCTTGCACAGGGAAATTGCAGACTTGAGGACCAGGCAATTCCTGTCTTCCAAAAGTGGTCGCTGCCTTCCACCTTAATCGGGACATTGTCTTTCCATCTCTGTCTAGTTCACCAAAAATAAATTTCCCTTTGGATGTGGTTTGCGTTGTGTACATTTACTGCTCAGCCAATGCCTCTTTTAGGAAGATGGATTTCCTTTTGCTGCCACTTCAAATGGGCACCCTGGTTTCCTGTTCCATTATCTCTAGGTGGCTCAGACAGACCATCATTCAAGCTTATGGTCTTAAGGATTGGGTTCCTTACTTCGTTAAAACTCCACTAGAGTTTCTACGATCTTTGGCAAAAAGACTATTCTGTGATGTGTATATGAAATCGGACGGGAAATTATGTCACTATGTCATGGGATGTTTTTGTATGCACCTGGCCTGATGTGCATATACACCTGGTATTCACATATGTTGTCACAGTGACTCTCTAATGAAGGGTTCCCGCGAGGTCCCGAAACGTTCGCTTCTGATGACATGACATTTCCCAAACATATCAATGAGATATTGATATCTGAACTTTTCTTTGTGTGTGCCAAAGGTGCTTACTTTGAGTTTTGCATGGCGCCATCGGTGCGATCCCCACTAACATTGTGAAGTGAGACCGTAAGGAGTGCAGGTGTTTTTTGGAAACAATTATATATTTCAGATTTCCTTAATCAGGAATACAAGCAGCCCAGCCCTGTCCCAGCTGTGTTAGTACATAAGCAGTGTCTCTTCCCTCATGTCCTGCACTATTGTAATCACCCAATTTAGGTGTACGTTTAATAAACCTTGATAAAAGTAGCTTTATCACGAGTTAACTTTACTCAGCAGATCTTTGTTTTTCTCGGCTGCGCAGAGGCTGTTTAATAACCTGCGAAAAGAAAACTTATCACACGAAACAGCTGTGAAAGGCTGAGATAAGTCGTCACGGTGATCAGTAGAGAAAGCAATGTGGGGAATGTATTCTGAGCTGCACAATGACATCCTTTGTGATAATCTACAATCCTCCTGACAGGATCATAGTTTACTCTGCCAAACCACCCAATAACAATATTAAAAAGCACCTCTATAGCAAAGTGCAACAGTTATTTCTCTGTTAAAATGATGAAAATTGCTAAAAAGCAGGATTTACATGTTCTGATTTGTTCAGCATGTACCAGTACAAAAACATGAATCAAACTACCAGAGGCAGCCACAATGCGAGGCAGTGATGGGGTTAAACATTCTAAAGGGGCACTCTGATGGAGCCAAGCAATGTAAGTGGGCACTCTGACACATGCTGGAAATTAGAATGTTTGGCGTCCCTGAAAAAAGCCTGCTGTCCCGAGATAGGTGCATCAGCACTGTGTGTGTGCAAACACACCAGCAGCATTTATTAATGCATTATAAACGAAATGGTCTTACAGACTGTTATGTGTGGAGTGCAATGTTCACTGCATCTGCCTGTAAAACATGCTCCCCAGACATCCTTCAAACTTAATTTGGTGGGCCTGTTTCTGAGGGAGACTGAGCCTTCAACAACAAGCCCTAAGGTCACATGACCTTGTTGAACTTTACCTCACACTACACAGATACAGTGAGGGGACTTGAAACTGTCACTCTCATGAGGGAAGGGTGGCATTAAGACAGACTTAACTCCTTTTCCCTCTCAAGGCTGTGACACACTGCAGGCGAAGCGAAAAAATCGCAACCTTCCACTGTGCACCGCACCGCAGCTTGTCTACACTGTAGTTTGTCCCGGCACAGCGCATATTACAAGCGATTGGGCGTCTCTACAGACGTCTGAACGCTTGTATGTAAACAGCCATCGCTGGCTGTTTACATTCAAAGCCAATTTCCCATTCGTGCGTGCCGCCTAACGTTTAAAAACGCCCACCCGCATTCCGTCCACTGTCTGGCCCTTTAATTACAACGGCTGGACAGCAGGTGGTTAATTATTTAATTCATAAATATTCTTTGTTGATTATGAAATATATTTCTATTATTTTAAATTAA